TGCCGCGCGTCGCGTCGCCAGTTTCGTCGAGGCTCCCCTTCGTCGCAGGCGACGGTAGAGGTCGACGATCCAAGCAGGGTCGGGTTCAGAGGGGTTCGGCTCTCACTGCCGGCGCCACCGTCGTGTTTCATGTATCGTCTTGCTCTAGGGCGCAGGGGCAGGCGGGGACCCACGAAACACGAGGGCGCCACGCGTCCAGACCCCGCCACCACCTCCGAAAGTACCGCCGCCACCGCCCGCGGCGGTGACCCGACACGGATCAGCTGCCACGTCACAACAGGGCCGGCGCCGCGCGCAGCGGGGAGCCGCGCAGCGAACGGCGCGCGCAAACATCGCACGGCGCGACGAATCGGCCTGGCCGCTCTCCCCGCGGCGGCGGCCTGCTGCTGGCGGCGGTGGCGGGGGCGGCCGTCCTTGCCGCCGCCCCACCTGCCGGTGCGGTGAAGCGGCGCGCTGTGCGGCCACCCCTGAAGGCGATACGTCTCACGATTATCGGCGACGGCGACGGCGCGCGCCGAGTTCCTTCAACCCGCGCGCACGAGCGCGCCCGGTTGTCATAGCAACCGGCACGCGCGCGCCACTGGCGACGCACCGGCGCGTGACCCGCTAAGCGCCGCCAGCGTCTTGGCCAATGGGTGAGGGCGTTACAGGCCGTCAGCCAATGGCTGCCGCTGGCACAGCCGCCGACGGCTAGACAAATGAAGGTGGCCCTCCGCCGCCGCCGCCGCCGTCTTCGCCGCACCTGCCTCCGCGGCCTAGTGGCGCGTGCCGAGAACCAAGATAATGACCGCTCCAGACAGATAAATGCCTCCAAAACGCCGACCACCGTCAATAATGTCGCTGGGCTGGAAGCGACGGCGCGAGCCGCGCGGAAAATCTTGACAAAAACTGACCGCAAGAGAGCAAACCCGTATTTACTGAACACCGGTGAGGGGTAGGGCGAGGAAGCCACTGTTTGCGCTCAGTGAGGGGCAAAACAGGACCCCGGGCTCATGGCGCACCTCAGAGCTTTGAGCGGTCACGGCGCACCTCGACCCGTGTCCAGCCGGTACGTTACGATCTGTTACGACTTACGAGCAGTTACGATCCCGCCGCGGGCGCCATCAAAGCGACGCGCCGGCGCGCCAGCATCCTCCACCATGGAGGTCGCGCGCCTCGCTCATAAGGCTCATCCTCCACCTGCACTTCCCGCGACTCTCGCCCTTACGGCCGGCGCACACGGCAGATGCGTTGACGGCCAGGTGAAATTTGAAAATCGATCGTTTGTTCAATGCGAGCCGACGGCGCACGGGTCCGACAAATTACACCGGACACAGGTGGCAACCCGGCACGGTACCCGGCGCCGCTGGCACAAATACGGCGCGGGCAGCCGGCGCGCGGCCGCTGTGGCGCGCCGATCCCTCGCGCCATCGGTCGCGACTCGCGAGAGACTCGCTCCGACCTCCAAAGTCGCCGCCGCCTTCCATTAGTCCGTATCTGCAGCCGAGTCGCGCTATCGAACGCCTCCCAAACTCCGGCAGCGCCACTCGACTTGCTAATCGGCGCGCGCCTGCCGGGTGGTCCTCTGTGACAGGCGACCGTTTTTCGCCGGCCGTCCGCCTCCGCGCCGGGCCGTGCGCGCGCCACAGAGAGACCCACGGAGATGGCCCCGGTGGCGTGCCGATCGGCCCGGCAGTTTTACCCAGCTACAAGGTCAGCGGGCGTCGGCTGAACCGGCTGGCCACCGGGCGGCCGCGCCGGCCGTGGCGCACCTGTGACGTAATCGCCGCACCGGCGACACCTTATGCGACGCGCGCGCGACAGCCAGATCGATTATGGGCAACAAACAGGCCCGCCGTGCAGCGGAGGTGTACCACCGTGCGGTAATGCCCGCTCCGCTCTTTACCGTGCAACGGTAGCTACGCTATGCAAGGCACCACGAAGCTCCAAGCCGCCCGCCGTCAAAGCCCGAGATATCCGAGCACTTCACCGATTGCACGACGTCGGAAAAATCCAACCGCAACAGCTGGTGGTTTATTCAGGCAGCATAGCTCGATAGCGGAAGGGCTTTCCATTTTCGCTGAGAATGACGGCTAACAATGGAGCGATCGCGCAAATCCACCCCCTTGACCTTCTCTGAGGAGCTCAAACCGGCACGGATGGCTGCAAGATCGTTCCGCGCGGTCGGCTGCGGTTCGTCTTTTCCCCGCTGCCGCCGACGTCATCGTCATCGTCATCGTCACCGGTAAAAGCGCGTCTGTCCGTCGCGAGTGGCTGACCATCGTCGGCACGTGTCTACCGCACTTTCTGCCACCGCCGCCGCCGCCGCCGCCGCTGGCCAGTCGGTGCTCTCCCGTCTGGGAGCGGTCCGACCCACTTCGGAGTCGTGGGAGGCGACTGGCCCACCGCCGCCGCCGCCGCCGCAGTCGACGGGGCAGCGGTGACGCGATGCCGGGCGGGGACGGGGGCGGTGCTGATACGCAATCGCGCGACTGTGTAAACTGTGCTATCGGGAAGTCGCCAGGTAATCGCACCACCACCACCACTGTCGCTGCCGCGGAGACCCGCAGTTAGGGTCCGCAGCGGCGCACACATCCGCGTGGTGCCCCCAATCACACTAGGCGGCACCCTCGCCCACCGGCGGTGGCTTATCCTTCTGCAAACCCACTGCAAGCCTTTCGCGAGTCAGCGCGTTAGTTTGGTCTGCTTGCAGCTATTCCAGTGTCTGCAGAAATGCGGCGCAGAGGCTCCAACCGCGATGAGACGGTCGAGTCGTGGTCTGAGCGCCGAGAGCTCCAGTTAAGGTGTGGTCGCGGGCGTGAGATAGGTTTCAGCGGCTCATCGCGCCACTCCTCGCCACCATCGCGCCACACAACGCCGCACCGGTTGCCATGGTTTCACTCACCGCGTGTCATCGCGCGAGAAGTCTGCTGTAAATCGACAAAAATGGCGCCACCGCCTTCTCCAGTCACAGCGGGGTAAAAATAGCCTACCAGACTGCGGACGTGAGCAGCGCGCATCGTTTCATAACTACCAGGTGCTTTCGGAGCGCCAAACTGTCTCTGTAAATGAGCCATTGCGAGGCGGGGAGCCGTTCCCGTACTGCACCTGAAACGACCACCGTGGGGCCGGTGCTGCTCGCTGCAGAGCTGCCAGTTGTCGCGGCGCCTCAGACTGTGTGATTGCCCAATCGGTCGTGCTAAAATCGGCGCACTGCCGACACAGGGTGCGGCTTGGCGAGGTGTTTCGGTGACCAATGTGGACTATCAGTGGAATTCAGCGATAACATTCTAAGTTATCGAAGCGATAGTGTGTTGTACTTTGTATACAAACCGGCGACATGTGGACTCAATCAGTTGGAGCCAGACTCTCGCTCACCACGCCGACAAAATCACCACCCTCACCACAGCGAACCCGGATCTAGAGTCTCCACCTAGCTAAACCCCAGTCCTAGCCAACTCAGCTCCAAGTTCTGCAAGCGACGAAGGGCGTGATCTGACAAGCATCCCAGGTGCGCCGCCGACACCTCCGCCCCGTCTCCCTCCCGCTCCCCATCTCCTCTTCTCGCGCCCCAAAGACCGTGACCGAGTTTTGGAGCGGCAGGCACGGGGTGTGATTTTTCCGGAGCACCGCGCACGAAGCCCGCGTCCCCAGCACCGGCTAGCGGGGATCACAAGTCACGCGTTCGGTGTCGTTGCTGGCCTCGAGAAAACTGGGCATCCGCCTATTACAGAAGCGACAACCGACAGGCGACATTGTCGAGGCGGCGCACTTGCTTCTGCCGGCGGCTACCAGGCGCTAAACCTGTCGTCAGGTTCTGCGTGATTTTCGCAATGCCGATATCAACCACTACTTTCCACGAACCAGCAACTAACCAGATTTTCCGTGCTCTTGATTCGCCTCTTCTTCATCCAAACGCTAACGCTCCTCTTCTCAGTGCAGCAGCTAGACAGATGTCTCTCAGACGCCAAACAACACACCAATCGTGACTAGCGCCTGACAAAAAACCGCCACCGTCCTGACCACGGTCCCAACCACTGCAGCGACCGCTGCACCGACCGCCGACCAGGTTCAAACCACGGTACCTCGGCTCAGCGGTCCCGGGATGGCGTTCGGCCCAGCCGGATTCCGGACAAATTAGCACGACCAATTGGTCCGTGATGCCGGTCTTCTGTCTGTTACCAGGACGGTGGCGGATACAGAAACGGTCGCCAGGATGACAGTGATGGCGGTGGTCGTGGCTGGGGCAGCTGTATCGCTAAAGCTACCTTTATTGCAGAAGCTGCAGCTTGAGGCATGAACAAAGTTTGCCAGTGGAAGCGGCCTAAAAGTAGTTATCAGTATATTGATGATGCTGGTAAGCTTGACGTGTTTTGCCCAAAGCGGCAAAGTGAGCTATTGGGAGGAAATTTTGATGGAAGCGTTAACGACGACGATTGAGATCGTGGTAGCACAAGAAATTGATAGTTTTGACGGTAGCTTTGGCGATTGTTCTGATGGTTAGCGATTGCTTTGTCGGTAGATCTAGCGGTAGCTCTGGTGGTAAATGGTAGCTTTGGCGGTAGCGCTCGCGGTGACGGTGATAACAGTCGGTATTGCAGGAGCGGTCTAGAGCCCAAGCACGGCAGGAAACATTCCAAAGGTGACTGCTGACTCGTGACGCCTTTATTAACCGCTGAACGGCTGATAAGGTGTCGGCGGAGGGCATATCCGCGGTTCCGGGCCGGCCAAAGTCCAACGACACGAGTGGGGGCGGCTTGAGAGATCCGCCCAGTAGAGGCGGATGAGTGACCGCAAACCGCTGATGAAAGGCCTGAATGGCACCACCGCAAAATATGCAGCATTAGAGGAAAATGAATAAGATTGAAACCGAAAGGTCACTTTCGTCTTCGATGTCTCCTTCCGAACAAGTATGGTTGATAAGCTTGAATAAGACGAAATGCATACCTATCTCTTGGGAAATTTTTCAGGAGGTGCTCCAACTCTACCAACAGCATGCACGATCCCAGCGCCCGACTCACCTGCTATCCGGAATACTGACGAGAGGAGCAGCAGCATCAGAAGGTGTCGAAGCGCGCCGGGCGGCCGGGGGCGGGGGCGGCGGGCGGCCACCTCGCCGGCCCGCTCGGCCGACCCCCTGCCAGGGGCGCCGCGGCACTCGGCGCCGACCGGCTGCGCGCCGGGCCGGCCGGGCCCGTGACCCCGTGAGCCGGCCTCGGCGGACGACGACGGCCGCGTCACCGGCCGCGACCAGCGGCTGCGGCTCTCTGCGCTCCCTGGAACAGCGGAGAAACAAACACGGGTTAGAGAGCGACGCCAAAATACACGCAACACACGCACTGGAAGACGTAGCGGATAGATGGCGATCCTCATAATACCTACAAGCATAAACAAACACAGGTGAGAGGATGACACCAAAACACGCGTAGCTAAACACTCCTCGAGACGTAACACAAAAGACGCAGTGGATAAATGGCGACCCTCAAAAACACGTAGGATTCGTAGGAATTACGAGCAAGACCTTGACACCGGCACAGAAACTGCGCCACGAGACAAGTGTTAACAAGCAGCGTTGCAAGGCTGACCAAAGTGCGCGCCTCGCGGTACAGGTGGTGGGAAGTGAAGGAAGTCGCAGTGAGGGCTGGACGGAGCCGGACACAGGAGTTCGGGCAGGTGTCAAGATGCCGGTGCAGACAGGTGTGGGGGTCATCCAACATCCGTGCAATACTGCACTGTCCACGTCATACTTAAAATTAAAAACCTGCACCAGTTCCCCCAAACATAACTTGAGCAGGTGCAACCAAACAAGCCAGCGCCAAGTTTTGCGGTTGTTGCGATTCGCCTTAATGCTGGTAGGTCGCACACCCCTGCACCAGGTCAATTAGGTCCAACGGCCCTGCAGTGCAGTCAGCCAAAACCCCGGGGGCGTTGGGCCAACCGATGATCACATACGGAACGCCGGTGGAACCATGGGTGAAGGTGACTTCGGCATCACACCTAAAAAAGAAACTTTTCAGCTCACCAATGGCCACCATGAAATCCTTACGTCACATTCTATTTTGGCGTTTTAAACAAACAAAAGAAATCATCCATTTTTCCTCCTGCAACAAATCGAGGGAGAGCTTCTAGAACCCTGGAATTCTTAACCCTCTCCACCCCCAGGCACCCACCCATCCCCGCGTCTGTCTGGCGGCGGGGCGGCGGCTGGCAGTTGGTGTATGATGTTTCGCCGGCACTGCAGGAGGCCCCCGAACCTGCAGTGGGCCACCGGCCAAATCGGTGAATCAACTGACATTCCCGGCTCAGCTGGTCCGCGGACCTTCCTCTCCCACCGGGCCAGACATCGAGATCGTCCTCAGCGGATCACCGAGGTCAGCTGGACGATCAGACGAAGCAGGGTGATACGAGGGCGAAAGTGGGGAGGGGTAATTGAAGATCGAATGTAAAAGCATGAGAGCGATCGGTAGGACACTACATTAAAATTGATTTAAGACGCATGAGAATAGAAAAGAGACTAGTCACAAACGCGAAAATATGGGCTAGGTCAACCGGGTGAGCTTGTATGTCACTGAACTTGCCGGCTGGATGCACCGCTTCCTGACGGTCATCCTCGCACCGGAAACGGGGCCAACCGGGCGACGGGGAAGGGGAGGGGACCTAGAGGGGAGCCGACACACGGGGGAGCGGCCAGCCCATACACAGACCCACTAATAATCGCCCAGGGTCGTCGTCGTTGCAGGATGCAAACAAATCGATCGGTTGGATGTCGGGGGCAGTGTATCGTCGCGCTCCGGCCCCCATGGTCGGCCGTAAAAACCAACAGCAGGTGGAACGAAATGCCATCATACCGACGTGATTCATTGCTCGTTTTAGCGTGTCGCAGAATGAATGAGCTACCGGTGTAGCAGCGGCGCAAAGCGGGCTTCATTCATGACCCGGCCGGCGCCGAGGGCTGCCCTGGAACACACCTCGTCGGCCGCTGCGCCGGGCGCCTGAGCGGTGTCTAGACCCCTGCCCGGTTGGAAGCCGACGGTCGGCACTGGAGGTGTGGGTATTTCGGGCCACAGGATGGCGGCGGGCGGGGGCGGGGGCGGCGGCGGCGGCGGCGGCGCAGCTGCCGCGCCGGTGACCGATCGTCCCGCCGGCACAGCCGCAGTGGAGCCGAACCGGCCACAGGAAACGCTAATAACAGCCACCCCTCTCTGAATTCCGCGCCGGCCAGTTAAATGCCCGCCGAATCCGGTGGCCAGGGACATACAGCCGACAGACGGACTAACCCGTGCTGCTCGACTCGATGGATGCGCGGTGCCCCTTCACCAGCGGCCGGTACCGGCAGAGCGACCAGCCACTGGGACCGTGGGTGCTGCGGGACGAGTTCTCCCACGCCGGCAAATGTCTCCGTCGCAGCCGCCGGCTACTGAGAGAAACCGTCTCAGCTGCGGGAATCGCGGTGGCTAGCGGCCCCCCAGGGTAAACACCAAGCGGAAGAAACGCTTGACGCTTTTAACCAAAGCGTTGATTACCTACAGCCGTGGTGTCTGCGTCCAGGAAAATCGCCAAGCCAAAGCTTCTCAGTTACTGAACAGGAAAACGGCAAGGAAAATCACGAAATCTCCTAAAAAGTCGCACGTGCCAAACAGTAACTTCACACCTCTGTTCACCAGCTTCGCTCAGCACCATGCCTTCATCACGACTGAACTTCCGCGCTGCACACCTGCAACATGTGCCTATTGCAGGTGGTGGCGTAACCACAGGTCTGCGTCGTTTTTCACCAGACACCACCTCCCTCTGACGCGGGCCGGTGCCGGGTGGCAGTGGGCCAGGTCTGAGGTAGGAGGGGGCCGGACAGGCGCCGGTCGCCAGCGGGCACCGGCACCAGCCACCGACGTGACGTCAGAAACCCGCTGTGCTGACGTCATCGGCCACCAAATCACCACGTGCGCACGCATCAACGAAGGAGGAGATCGTCTGGGAGCGTGTCTCAGCCTGTCGTGTTGCAAACGTGCTCTGCCGTGTTCAAAGTCATCATACCTTTATTTGGTCGCGCCAAGTCAACGATATCTCTCTCGAAACTTCGGCTCGCCATCGCCAAGAGGAACCACCCTTTCGTCCACAAAGATATCATCAACCCCGCACAAGCCCTGACTAGTCGTCCTGGGCTTACATCCGGCTTCGCAACCACCCACCGCGATCCGCGCAATCCACCGGTCCGCAATCCACCCGCCCAAAATCCGTCCACCAAATCCTGCTGAAATCCTGTGGCGCTCCACCAACTGGTCCGTTTAATCGGCGTCTCGCGGCGTGTTGGGTTGGGTCGGTGCGCCGTTCGGCTGTCTGGTTCAGCACCGGTCGTATGGCTGGCTGAGCTCGAACGGTTCGAGGATGGACGGTATGGTGTTCTGGTCGACCTCACGGCGACTGATGTGATGGAGACTGATGGTGAGTGATGTCAACTAACTGATGTTACCTGTCGAGAACTGCGGCAGCGAGCACTGATGTTGTTGTCCACTGACGGTCACTAGTGCCAACTGATGTTTCGGGCGGCTGATGGACTCGGGTCAAACGTAGCTGTGCCGTTGGCCAAGAAGGGACCTAGCGGTTATTTTTGTCCGCCCGGGTCACGGTTCAGCTCACGGAGCGGGTCACGGTGCGGTCAGCAGGGTCAGCAGGGCAGCGGGGTCACAATGTCAGAGTCGTCTGCTCCGGTTCAGCATGTCTGCAGCTGCTACAGCCACTGGGCCGACAAAGCTCAGACGGACTCACCATGAACTCAATGCGGACTCTGTTGAGCTCATGAAACTCACCCAGCGAGCGAAGCGCTTAAACCAGAATTTACAAAACCCGGAGCGGATGGTACTCATAGAGTTCATGGCTGTCCCAACGATTATGTAACCAGCAGCGACAATGACATGTCCAACAATGCATTCATTCAACGGCAAATATGAGTGCATGCAAGGCCAACAGGTTTGGGAGAAGAGATGCGTTTCGGAAATGCGATTCAAACATGACACAAAACTTCAGCACCGACTAAAATAGAATCACATCATAACAAAGAATATGGCATCGTCATCGTTCGCACTTGGCTTGTTTCCATCAATGCGACCCTGATATAATCCAATGCCACCCCGATCTAATCCTACCCGGTCTCGATCCATCCCGATACGGGTTTGACCTGGCTCAGAAGCCAGGGAGTGGGAGGTAGCAGCGTCTGTAACGCGTCTCCACGGCCTCGACACCTCCGCAGGGCCTCTGCTGCCAAACAGGGGTCTGGTAGGCTAGGCGACGCAAAAGGGGCCCGCGGCCCTTCTCCAGGACACCGAGTGTCGAGTGTCGAAAGTGTTGAGAAATCAGCCGAGAGCTGATATCCACGCGAGACTACGCGGAGTCGCCGCACCTTTCGCTCCACATCGCAGCAGTCCCGTCGCGTTCCTGACCTTTCTGAACCCGACCGGACGCCATTGCGTTTCCTCTCACGTCCCAACCAGTTCTTTGTATTCCCTTCCTCTCTCTCGCCTCCCATTCTATCCCTCTCTCTACTATTCTACTATTCCATCTCAAAGTCTCTCCCGCCCTTACACATTCCCTCCCTCTTGATGCCCGTTTTGGCTGACGTGCCTACCATTCGCGTCCCTTCTGTGCCCTCTCGAATCCTCGTTCCTATCCCTCCCGCGTCCCTCCTGTTTCCTCCCGCGTCCTTTCTGTTCCGTTCCCTCCTGCGTCCCTCGTATCCCTCTCGCGTCCCTCCTGTCCCGTTCTGTTCCGACCGGTCCGCTACATGGAACGTCCAACGACAGCTGGAGAACGGAGACAAGGCGTCGGGCACGCCTACCAGACGAACCAGTCTTCGACGCCGAGATAACAGCCTACGAGCGAGACCGACTAAACCGAGACGGCGCGCTGAACGGGGCGAGAGACGGGGATGCGGTCAGAACTAGGGATGAGCTAAGTGTAACACGTTTTGACGAATATAATGGTATCGATGATCATGTTTTGAGAGCCTTTGGGGCATGCATTGGCCAGTCGCGTTCCTGGTTCTAGTAGAGCTTATTCAAAATTATGAAAGCACATAATTACAACAACCAACAGTCATCCATCTGTTTTCACACAATACCAAACACATAAAATGAGCATCATCCGAAGACAACAAATCCTCTCAAAGAGAAACCCCTCAGTGCATCAGGCGAGACATCGTCCAGCTCCGTAACGACGCAGTGTCTTGCCGCTCGACAAAGCTTGACCGGCTATTTTCTAACTGAACTGCTATCTGGCCGACGTC